TCCAGTCTGGAGTGTCCAGTGTGTGCAGACAGTGTGATTCCTCTCTCTCTGTCTTACCCCAGAGTCCAGTCTGGAGTGTCCAGTGTGTAAAGAGGACTACGCCTTGGGGGAGCCCGTCAGACAGCTGCCCTGTAATCACTTCTTCCACAGCGACTGCATCGTACCCTGGCTGGAACTGGTGAGGACAGACAGACGGACACTTGTCTCACACACACTGACACACATACTGACTGACGGACGCAAACAGGTAAGTACTGGGCTTTACAGAGCAAAGGGACCCGCAGGTTGTCCCAGCGAGAGGGGCAGGGAGAGAGACAGGCAGGGAGAAATTGTCCTGAATGTGAGACAGGCAGGGAGAGAGTGAGACAGGCAGGGAGAGAGTGAGACAGGCAGGGAGAGATTGTCCTGAATGTGAGACAGGCAGGGGGAGATTGTCCTGAATGCGAGACAGGCAGGGAGAGAGTGAGACAGGCAGGGGGAGATTGTCCTGAATGCGAGACAGGCAGAGGGAGAGTGAGACAAGCAGGGAGAGTGAGACAGGCAGGGAGAGATTGTCCTGAATGCAAGACAGGCAGGGGGAGAGTGAGACAGGCAGAGAGAGGTTGTCCTGAATGCGAGACAGGCAGGGGAAGGTTGTGAAACTGAGACCGAGAGATCACCCCGTCTGTGTCTTCTCTGTCCCTCTCTCCGCAGCACGACACGTGTCCAGTGTGCAGGAAGAGCCTGAACGGGGAGGACTCCACACGGCCCTCCCACCTCGACCCCCCCAGCCTGAACAGCGACTCGCGGCCGCAGGAGAGATGGTCCTTCTGAGCACAGACCCCCGCCCAACCCTGCTGCTCCTCCTCCTCTCTTCCCCCCAGCCCCCATCCCAGCCGCCTGCTGGCCCGGCCTGGGCTCGCCCCTCCCTCAGCAGCGCAGCTCTCAGAGACTGACCCCACCCAGGACCTCGGGGCGTCTCCGGCATCCTGGTGTGGGACAGCAGGGCCGCGCTGGGCCGAAGGCACCCGGGTCCAGCAGAGCAAATACGGCGCAGGAGGGCAGCAGCTCGGCTCAGGCGGCCTCTGCCCTGCCCCCCCCCCCCCCCCGCCCATGTCTTAATGATCAGATTCAGCTCGTTAATGACACTACGGTGCCTCAACTGCACTCGTTTCTCCAGACCGGTCCGCAGACGCTGTGGTCAGGGGAGTGTTCAGCTTTCACCACAGTGCTAATTTTGCACGCGATTTACTCACCTGTGAAACCAGCAGGAACCCAGCGGCGCCTGATCGGAGAGTCTCGTGAACGCAAAGGGCTTCTCGCGTCAGGAGGGGGCCCTCCTGTCCCCTCCTGTCACCAAACGGCAGTTCTTCGGGCTCCTGTTTCCACTGAGCTCTGGGTTCGTTGTTTAGACCCTCCCCTGAAGTCCCTGGTCTTGACGAAGCCCGTCTGTTTTTAGCTCTTTAAAAGCCGAGGTCGTATATAAAGTTCCTACAGGTCGTCGGACATTTCTACTCCTCCGAGAGCCGGAAGAAAAGCTCTGATCGATTAACGAAGCCCGAGTAAGTGACCGAGAGCTGGGCGACCCCTCCCTCCGCCCGGACACAGGACAGGGACGTGACCCCTGCGCCCCAGACCCCACTGGTGTACATATCACAACAGCCCTCTCGCCATTTCTCGGTTTACATTTAATTTTTTTCTCGTCTTTGTAAATAATTTTAGTCAGACTGCTGTCCAAGGGTATATATATATAGACTAATCATGTTGACTCGATCACGTGAGAAAAACAAACTTTTCCAACTTCGGTGTAAAGAAAATGTGAAAAAAAACACGAAATGATGGTTTCAGAAGCTTTTATTTTATCACGAAGTTCCTCCACAATGTGTCATTGTAAAGCTTTAAATAAAGTGCATGTAAATACAGACACGCGGTTCGGACTCGTCATTCGGTAGGGAAGCGGGCCTCTCACAGGTAACTCAACCCGTTAATTCTTGGGGGGCTGTGGGTTCAAACGCTAGGGGCTCCCCGCTATGGTACCCCCAGCAGCCTCAATCAGATTGCTCCACCAGTAGTACGCCCCACTGCTTAAAGGGGTACAGCTATGAGCTGCTAAACTAAAACTTATTTTTTGTTTTTCAAAGATGAGGTTTTCAATTCTGCTGGACATGCCTTGACTGTAGATTAACACCAGAACCACTGCTTATCTGGGTACCTGAGAACCAGTAAAACAGCCCTGGGCTACACTTGTGCACAGCAGAGCAGGCCTAGCCAGTCCTGGGCCTGTGGACTGGTCAGTGTGTCTGTAGGTTCACTGGATCGCTACCACAGTGGCCTTCTTGATGACGACTGTCCAGCTCCACAGACACACTGGCTCTGCAGGATCAGGGCTGTCCAGTCAGTGGAAACACAGGCGCTCCTGGATTAGAATTGTCCAGCCCTGCAGGATCAGGGATCTCCAATAGTGTGGAGACAAGCTCTCCTAGATTAGGGCTGTCCAGTCAGTGGAGACAGGCTCTCCTGTATTAGGATAGTCCAGCCCCCCCAAACATACTGGATCCATGGATTTTGGAAAACAGGTCTGGTTTGGTCTGGGGCACCAAACAACCTTTTCATTCACCTGCAGTCCTGCAGAAGAGCTTGTTTGCTGGTCTGGGCTCTTCTGTCATATGAAGCCCCTGTGCGCTGGGCAGTCCTGCACCGCTCTGCTGAGAGTCACCTCTTCAATGCTTCAGTCACAGAAACTAAGGGGAGAAACAGTAGCCACCCCTTTCTAGAGGAGCCTGTTCCAGACCCCTACCACTCTTTGTGTTGTTCCTATCCTCCCTCCTACTGTTTCCAGCAGTGAGCCCAGGTCCTGCAGGGTCACCTGACACTGAGGATGATGGCACCCCTCTCGAGCACCTTGTTCTAGACTGAAGTTTCATCTCCTCGAGCATCGCTCCTGGGACAGACTCTTCAGCCAGGGACCGGTCCGCACTCCGGCTGTCGGACTCCTGCCTCTTGCCTTTCCAGGACCCAAGACTCCCCCCTGCCTGTCCCCCCCCCTCAGCCCGTGCAGCAGGAACGGAAGCCCACTCTCTTGCGCCAGCTCCTTTATTTCTTGTCTACCAGGAGACACCGCGGCGGTTGTGTCCAGGACCAGTGGACCGGGCCGGTCTTCGTGCCAGGGAGCCGGGAGGTGTCCGTCAGGACTGGAGCTGGCTCCACAGCGGTGAGTCTTTCGAATTTGATGGGCGAGTGGCTGATGAGGCCGACGCTGGGACTCTCCTTGAAAACAGTAGGGGTGTCACCCCAGTGTCCTGGCCAGATTGGCCCTGGCCTTTACTAATCATGGCCTCCTGATCATCCCCGTCTCTGAACCGGCTTCACCAGTCTGCCCTCCTCCCCACTGAGAGCTGGTGTGTGGTGGGAGTACTGGTGCATCATCCAGGTGGGGCTGCACACTGGTGGTGGTAGTGGGATCCCCCATTGTCTTTAAAGCGCTCCGAGTGGAGTGTCCAGAAACGCGCTATGCAAGTGGAAGGAATGTTTATTTATTTATTGAGTATGGGTAATCAATGAGGTATTGCTGATTGATCATGAAATCAGTTGTTAGTGATGGGTCAGAGCGTCTCAGAAAGGTGGGTCTCACTCTCTGGGCCACAGCAGGGTCATGATGGAGTGAGCTGGGGACACAGCCGGGATTACCCCAACGCCGACGTCCTGCACCTCGAACTGCAGGTCCTCCTCACTCCTGCCGGAGGACAGAGAGACAGACAGACAGCCGGTGAGCTCTGGGACACGCTGGTCTGTGCCTGGGTAGGAGAGGGGGCAGTCACTCACCTGTTGAGGACAATGAGTGTGGCCA